GAAATTCAAATACTCAAGTAAGCAGACTTGGGTGCAATATCCTCACAATATGACTCACTTTGACAGTGTCATCATCGGAGTTTCGGGAGAAAATGTCCTTCAAACGATCGAAGAATGGCATTTTTGCTTGGATGAGAGACTCAAAAACTGAAACAAAACTGTAAAGAGAAAAGAGTAGAGGGTAAAGGTATGAAATTTAGCTCTGCAACCACCCTGACACTTCCTTTTAATCTCATTCTGTTTAGTCTTCTGTGATTGTTAGCAGCAGGTGTGTCACAGGGAGGAGCCACAAAAACTGCAACTCATCACAGAGATCACACTCTCCACAAAGCTCTACCACAGACATACATACTCTGTTTTAGTCACTGTGTGTTTTTAGCCACTTGGCAAATATCTGTTCTTCTTTTACAGTATTTCTGTAATTGCCATCTAACTCCTGAACTCTGTTGCTGTCATTTCCGTCCTCACTCTGTGGCTAAACTGTCCTTCTCATTATAACGTTTGTCATTAAGTTATCTTTTTCCCTTTATTTATCCTGACTCACCTTGAATTCCTCGTAACAATAAGAAAATGGGAGTTCAAGTGTTTACATATCCAGCAAGAAACCCTCACCTGTGCTGCTGAAGACCGTCCTGCACTCTAGCTTGTAGCTACTGCACTGTGGAGCTCACTCTGCGGCGTCTCCACCCATCACTGTGCATTTTCACCTGCAGAGGTTTAGCCAATCATGCCATACCTCTCAAATTCTTTTGAGGCAAAAGATTCATATGCCTCTGGGACTGGTTGGACAACTTTTCAATTCAGACTATTCTGTACGTGTTACACTTTAATCAAACCACTTAGTTGAAAACAGTCACACAGATTTTTTTGGACAATTATACCTTTAACACAGCCAAGTTAAAGGTATAATTGTCCAAAAAAATCAGAATGAACCTCAACATTGTTGATACCAATCAAGGAATACTGTCAGGTGTAGTCTACATGAAAATGTTACTTAACCATACCTTTGTGGCACTCCCTTAATTCTTGCTTGAGTTTGGCGCCTTGAGTTGCAGTGCAGGTAATGTAGGGAACAGATTTCGAAAGAGAAGCATGTATATTAAAAACACTGCATTTGGTTCTGCTGCATTCATTTTAATGGAATGGTTGTTAGAGGAGGCCTAACCACAACGATATACTTTGCTCTTAATTGTTTCTTGTTGGTTAATTTTCTTTCACTTGGTGGAGCTCAGTGGGGGTTTTTTTTCTCTGTGGTATCAGAAGGTTACCCTGCTGCTATAGATATAGTTTCTATATCAATAAATCTGTTTTTCCTACATGATATTATAAAATTAGAGAAAGGTAACAATTAGAGAAAAGTAACAATTAGAGAAAAGTAACAAAGTAAAAAGCCAAACAAACTCTGCTGCCAGTAGTAGGGGAAAATTGAATGGCAAGTATGGGAATGTGCTGTAAGGAATGAGAATAATAACATACTATATAGAAACATATATAAAAGCAGGTGAACTGTTGTTAAGGTGTTAGTGAGCGGCTGGTGTTTTTCCGTGTCCTCCTGTGTTTCCCTGTAAACCTTATTAAACTAAATTAACGCAGTGTACTGTAACTCAGGACATGGTATTACTATAGTACATCCATACATAGAAAACATATTACAGTATTAAAACTAGAGAATTACAGTAATGCAATGTATCATCAGGTCATGGTATTTCTAGGTTAACATATTGTAAAATACAACATTGCTGCCAGTAGCCTGATGTAAAAGTGTAAGAAATACAGGAATCAGCTGTAATTTAGGCCATGTTTTGACATTAAAAAAATGTAACAGATAGAGATACAGATAAAAATAGATATGGTAATATATTGTAATTAATATGTCATGTTTTCAGTATTACAGACTACTATAACAGATTACAGATTATTACAGTGTTACGGCCAGGCAGCCGGTGTGTTTGCGAAACTGGCCCAAAAAGCAGACACAGAAGAGAGGAAACTAAGTATAACAAAAAGCAACCTGTTTATTAGGCTGGATACATGAACACAAAACAAGGCAGGGCGAACAGGGGCATAACCAAACTAAACTAAATTGGGGAAAACTAAACTAAACATGAAAACTAGAAAGTGAAAATGAGAACATGAAATTGAACAGGTACATGCAAACTTTAGCGTGAAATCATCTAGACATGAACAGTAACTACAAAAAATCCTGAAACCTGACCTGAGACGAAGTGAGAAGGACATACTGCCTTCCTCTTCCCGCTTCACCACACCCCACCACACATGCAGAGCCTTCGGGTAAAGGTGTGTCACCAAGGTGCAGGGGAGACATTCTTCCTCTGTCCCCTTCTGGCCACCTGTGCCTCAATTTTATTCCACAACATAGACATCCACATTACTCAATCTCTCATAACACATACATATAGGACCTTGGGGTGGGTATGCTATACAACATCCAGAGGACCGTCTTCGTGTTCAAACTCACCTCTGGCGCCTCTGCCCACCTCTCAATTTTAAATGCATGTTGACATTGAGGGTTCTCGGGAGGGGCTGTGGAATGTGGAATGGTTGCCCCTCTGATGGTCCTCCTTGGGCTCTCGCGCTCTGGGGGCCCATGCCTGCTTCATGCCCTGGGGGGCAGGGCTATGGCTGCCCACCGTCTAGCAGATCGTTACATCGAGAAACATTTTGAATACAGGCGCGCTCACACACACAGGTGCAGATATGGGTGCTCATAGGCGCAAACTATATCTTTCTTGGCTCCTACCACAAAGCACATTGTGCGCTGTCAGTTTTGCATGCTGCACAATAACGTTCAATATTTCACATTTACTGTTACTCATACTTATCGAGGTTATTGCTCTGGTGTTATGTTGATTGTGTTGCTCTCCTTTTGCTTGTTTTCTTTTTTTCTTTCAACAGGTGATCCAGCTGGTTTGTTTTTTTAGTGTCTTCTCTCACTGTCCCTCTTCCCCTCTGTTTTTCTTTCCCTCCCTTTCCTATACCCCAGTCATGTCTGTCCTGCCTGTAATAACTTAAATAATTAATAATAAATGTTTCATTTGATTACATTTTATATGATGAATTATGCAGAAAAAGTAGAATTGGGCTGTAAGATCTATTGCTTTGTTACCTATTCAAGTTGTGTATCATGTTTTTAAAAAGTAACTAAGTAACTAATTACTTTTGAAAAAAGTAATCAGTAAATTAACAGGATTATTTTTAGAAGTAATCAGTAATTAGTTACTAATTACTTTTTTCAAGTAACTTGACCAACACTGGTTGCCACATACTGTAGAGTAATGTAGGAAAATTGCTTCCAGTAGTCTACTGTAGAATAAATGAACCACACAATAATCTGATCTGTGGTATTATCCTGTAAAGTAGATTACACTACAAGAGCTGAGAGTAGGCCATGGTATCATTAGGATAACACAATGAAAAACAATACAACAGTAGAAAAAATATTAAATTAAAAGCTACACACAGCAAAATGTTGCCTGTAGTCAACTATAAAGGCCAGTAAATACAGAAATATACTTTAATTTAGGCCATGAAAATATTACCATACCAGAGTGCAAAATACATAACAGTAAAAGAACTGTAAATTTAACAGCAGCATACTGTAAAATGTAGACAATACAATTATGCATTATGATTAAGGACATGGTTTTATCACACTAGTGTAGTGTAATATATATAACAGTAGGAAAACTGTAAAGTTAACTTTAATACTGGCAATCATGCTGCTAATAGTCAGGAAGATTATAGCAATTTACTGTAATCGAGAGCATAGTTTCATTACAGTAACATATTGTACTATACAATATATACTTGTATGAAAATTGTAAATAGGACTATTTATTTTTCCCAGTGTATTTATTTTTTATGTTCTTACAGTTTTACTACATGGCAATCAGTATGCATGAAAAAATAGAAGCAAACAAAGACTGTAAGCTAATATTTTACAAATGTTATTTTATAAATGTAAAATAATTTTATTGGAAAGCCAGTCTCATACAATTAATATAAAGTCAGTGTAAATATAAGAAAAAAATAAGTGAAAATCTGTGAAAGACATCGGAAAATGAACACACACTGTTTCTGCCTCAAGTAAATGAATGTATGTCTGTGTTGTAGGTAGATTATCTTCAAAATCATTACATTATTTTAACATTATTAACAAACTGATATTAAATCAGTGGCTAATATGGCTACTTCTATATAGTTTAACAGTTTGTGCACCCTTACAGTTAGGTGCAACTTAGCTTAACTGAGTGTTGAATATTATTATTTTCCAGCCAATCAGAAACAATGTGGCTGCGTATTTATCGTTAACCACGACTGTTATAAAAAAAATTCAAGATGAGGACGGCCAAACTGTTAAAATTAGTGTTAACATCCTTCTTTTGTACACAGCCTATGACTTTTTTTAAATAGCTGTGGACACAGAATCATAATTAATGTCGCTTCAGTGCCATCGTCACACTGAATGTTGCAACATCAGTAAAATGATCACAAATGAGAAGAATTTGCCTCAAAATGAAATCTAAACACGTACAAGACCGTAAACTAGCTGACAGTAGATGGGCTAACCCCTTTCCTCCATCGTCTTACTATGAACTTTTGCTTTCTTTATATGACTTTACGACTTATATATGACTATATATATGACTATATATGACTTTCCCCATTTTTCCTCTCCCTTTCTTTGTATTATTATGATCTAGACATGACACCAAAAATGCAATGTCAGATATACCAAGTTTAGACAGAACCAAGGGACATCCCATTTGGGTCATACATTTGCCTGAAAGGGCTAAATATGGTTGCAGTGTACCCACTAAGCAAACATAGATGAACTGTACTGTATGTTACAGATTATAGGTTCAAAATATCCAAAATATCTTTCCAGCTGACTTCAAGGAGCTATTAAAAGTATTTAGTGAAATTAAGAAAGACTGAGGAATGAAAACCGCCTGCAGGAACATCAGTTTCTCCCACTGTTATCTCGGAGGGGGCCCTCTCCCACGGCCTCGACCCGGTCCAGCACCTGGACCTGGTCCAGGTCCTCTGGGTCCAGGTGGCCTGCTTACTGGCCCTCGAGCATTAGGGTTGGACGACGCTAGAGCCACATCTTTCTGCAGGTTAACACCTTTACCAGCTGTCCCGGGTTTTGTCTTTGTTGGTTTTGGTTTTGGTTCTTGCTCTGGTGGTTTTTCTGTTCAGAGAGAGAGAAATGGTTATTGTCCACGTTGTAGTCTAATCAGAGTTATGCTTTGAAAGTCAACGCGATCATCAGGATGTAGTTCTGACCAGGCTCTGGTGGAGCAGGGGGAATGAGGGATCGGTTCGGTAGAAGGTCCTCCAGGTCTTTCATGACCTGGTTGGTGGTGTCTGCATTGTTCCTTCGATTCTTCTCTTCATCGCGAGCCTGGATTAAAAAATAGAGTTAGGCATAATAGTTTTGGAGGATCTATTAGATGCACACGATATATTGCTAAGCCTGGTCTTCGAGTATGATATGATATAAACAAGAAAAGTTTGGGAATTCCAGCTGGCTTGTTCATTGAGCAGAACTTTATGTGCCCTGAGGTGAAAATGAATGTCTCTACCAAACATCATGACCACTATCACTTGCTATGATATGATATTTTAACCTGTGTCTGACATTTCTGCTAAAAAGGTATTAATCCTATAGTTTATGCAGTTCTCAGCTCTAGAGCAAGAGCCCTATTCAGCACGTGTGCAGAATGAACTTTGGACTTTTTCTACACACCATCTTCATCTTTTTCTTCAGCTCCATGTTGGAGTTTTGGTATGCCTCGGATACTGAGTTCAAATAATAGATGGCGAGTCTGTGAAAGAGATAGGACAGGATTAATTTTCTTTTTTAGTGGCTTCAAATGAAAAAGTGGGATTTTGAGTAATTCTACACCTGCATGTAGGCCAGAGTGTGGTTTTATGGGTGTTTACACTCACACCATGAGAAGTACAGCTGGTATAATGAGACCGGGGTTAGCTGCATAGCTAAAGAGTGTTCCCATGAAGGCCGGCAGGTCCAGGTCAATCGTCTCCATGATTATGTCAAACATCTTGTCCTTTCCACTGCAAACAATAACTTACTCGCTGCATTTCATAATAGCAATATAATAGCACTTCATGTATCTTTTTTTCGGATTAATATCTGTGCTTTTATACTGAAGGTCCAGTCAACAAGGTGGCGCGTATGATGTGTAGACAACAGGTAACAGGCTAAGGAAGAGCACGAGGAGCAGGAGACCCATGTAGAAGTTGTTGGACTTAGAGGCCTTGAAAACTCTCTCGTGGGGGACGTTAGTGGCCATCACAGCCCAACACTGATAGTACATGGAGCTGAGGAGGCGGAGCACATTGATGCCCACCAGCCCGGGGGCATAAAATGCACCCATCCTTATATCAAAAAGGATCAAGTGAGCAGGTAAATACCAAAACAAGATTGATTTACCACCAGAAATAGGTCAAATTTAAAAACACTGAGTAGGAAGAAATATATTATAATGATCACAAAAATGGTTTCTCAGCTTTAGAGTGGCTCGATAAATACAAGGGTTGCAGGTCAGTGTACATGACGCTCATAGGTAAAGTAAAGTTTGTACCAAATCATGCCTTGATTGAAGACCAATCCAAGAACATTTCCACTGATGTCAAACTCGCCGTATGATGGCTGAAGTGATCAGAGACAAGTATTAGTTTCACAGCAAAACAGACTAGTGGGCCATAATATTTTTCAGCTAAATAAATTAATATAAAGGCACCAACTCTTGTCAAGTGGCCATGTCCCTAACTCCAGTATCCAGATGGATGAGTTATAAAAGAAATCATGAATCTTTTTGAAGGATGAAATTATCCAAAGAATGTTAAAATCATTTTTGGGCGTAGCTGTAACCATGTGTAGTTGGGTATCATACATGGGCGTCTACAGGGATTGACTCGCTTCTGGATTCTGTCTCAATTGGTCATTTATAGGAAGTGCAGTTATTGACCACTTACCTAATCCAATCAGACTTTGTTATAATCATTGGTAGAATGGCTAATAGTGAATCATTCTACAAACTATTTACTAGAATGAATGCAAGAATACAATTTTACATCAAGTTTGGTTTCATTTTGAGCCTGGCACTTCCAGACGTTTCTTCCTGTTAAAAGGGAGTTTTTCCTTCCCACTGTTGTCAAGTATTTGCTCAGAGGGGGTCATCTGCTTTTTTGGGATTTTCTCTGTATCATTGTAGGGTCTTTACCTTACCTTATAAAGCACCTCGAGGGGGCTGTTGAATTTAACTGAAACCTCTCTTATGGTGACAGTTTTTTTCAGGCAAATCCCTCAACATTCATGAAACTACCAATAGTACCAAGGACACTAGCAAAAAACACAACTAGAGAAAAATCCATTTGGATGGATAAGGTGAGAGCCAGTGTTTATGGCCACCACCTGCAAGAACATTACTTTTATGGGGAAGTTGTCTTTTTGTTTTCACCTCTACACTTGTATTTTTTTTTCACATTCATTGGTTTATGATGGTTTTATAAACAATGCTTTATAATTCCTAACCAGAGAGATTAATATTTTTGAAATTTAACAGACTTTGTGTTTTACTATGATAATCAAGTGTCTTATAAATTTTTGTTGAGCAATGTTTCATCAAAGGTTTCATCAGATGCTTAATTCAAATATCCAGTGTCTGGTATTCCTAAATGAAATCCATATTATTACATGTTGTTTTTACAGAAGACATATTTACATCTCATGAAAGCAACAGTTGTGACTGAATGATTGCTTGATTCCATTTGGTCCTAATTTGAGGCTCCTCTTGTGCACGCTGGCTCAACATGCTATAGCTCACTTTGTAAATGTGAAATGTCCCCTGGGTAAAATGCCTCTTCCACCTCAAAAGTTACTACAATGTCCACAGATAAGAAGGGGCTGTGGAGTGTTTATATTAATTTAATTAAGAGACTTACAAATCCAGCCTCCAGGTCCCAGCACCAGCAGTAGTTAAGGAAACGTACAATCACAGCTCGGGCAAAGTCACCAATCAGGATGGTTAGGTAGGACACCTGGATGTCTGACACGGTCAGCTTCACAAACTCCTGGAACAGCACAGTTATACATAAATTTTAACACTTCTAATTCGTGCCGTTAAAAAATTCACCAAGCCTGTTAGTTTTCTGTGGTTGTGGTTTTACTTGTGATTGAGATGTTTATTATAAATGAAAATAAGTTGTCATTTGTACAATGCCCACTGCAGTCTCCCAGCATGGTCCTCTAATGACATCAGCTGGATCCATTGGAGGCGGGGTGGCTTCTGAGTCATTCATCAGACGTGAGTAGTTGGCGTAGTACTCCTTCATGGCCCAGATGGAGGCGTTCTTTATGGACTGCTCTTCCTCCAGCTGAAGGGAACAAAGAGGATAATCAGTCAGTAAATTTTCACACAGCGGACATATTGTTACAATTAGTCAAGTCAAGTCAAGTCAAGTTTATTTATAGAGCACATTTAAAAACAACCAAGGCTGACCAAAGTGCTGTACAGTAAATACAGATAAAAATACAATAGAACACAATTTCGTAATATACTCGCTGATAAAAATAAAATAAAAATATATAAAACAAATAAATTAAACCTTTCTAAAAGCCAATGAAAAGAGGTGAGTTTTAAGAGCGGTTTTAAAAGTTTCTAGGCTTTTGGAGAGTCTGACGTGAGGAGGTAAACTGTTCCACAGTCTGGGTGCAGCCACAGCAAACGCCCTCTCTCCCTTTGTCTTTAATTTATACCTGGGAACATCTAAAAGCATCAGGTCGGCTGACCTCAAAGATCTCCTGGGGCGATAAGTACTAAGGAGTTCTGACAGGTAAGAAGGTGCAGTGCATTTAAACCTTAAAAGCCAGCAATAAGATTTTAAATCAATCTAAAGGCACTGGGAGCCAGTGGAGAGAGCAGAGAACGGAGTGATGTGGTCTCTTTTTTTTGAACCGGTCAACAGGCGAGCGGCAGCGTTCTGCACCAGTTGAAGGCGATGTAGACAGGAACGATCTAGGCCAGCATAGAGGGAATTGCAGTAGTCTAGCCGTGAAGTAATAAAAGCATAGACCACTCTTGCTAGATCGTTCCTGCAAAGGTAAGACTTGACTTTGGCTAAAATCCGCAAATGATAAAAAGATCCCTTAACTACAGAGCTGATTTGTTTATCAAGTTTAAAGCATTGTCAAAATAACACCAAGATCTTAATGGAAGAAGTGCAATCGGAGGTTAGGGGTCCCAAAAAGTCAAGAAGAAGTTGGGATCTTTAGGAGCCAAACACAATGACTTCAGTTTTGCTTTCATTAAGGTGTAAGAATTAAGAGTCATCAAGTCTTATGTCAGACAAGCAGGAGAGTAGCGGCTGCAAAGAAACATTGCAGTTCAACCTCAGAGGGAGGTAGATTACATGGGTATATAACTCAAGGCCACTATAAAATATTGGCAGCAAGCCCTATTTTATACACAATGGAACATAAAATGTTTAACCTTTTCATGCATAGTGGTCACTACAGTGGACAGCTATTCAAAAGCTGTTTTCTTGTATTTGTGTCATGTTGATGATATACTTGCACATAAACCACTACATTGGACACTGATGTGTCACTCCATACCCTGCCACTCACTGATCGTTTAGTGTTACTATAGATGTATGACGTGTTTCATTGTAATTATTGCTATTTAACCCTGTCATGCATAGGGATGGGTACCGGTGTCCAGTGCCATGATGGCACCGGTTCTGATATAAACGGTAGTAACCAGACCGAAAAGCAGCGCACATTTCGGTGCTTTATTTCGGTGCTTTTTTTTTCCTGAGCTGTGATACACTTTAGATTCTAGCCAATCATTTTACGTTTCCGAGGATAGTAGGCGGGGCCAGGTACGTACGTTCTTTTAGAGCAGAGCTACAGATTAAAAATGCCCAAGGCGAAGCGGTCAAAAGTCTGGCTGTACTTCATAGCAAAATATGCAAACTCAGCAGCCTGCAACAAGTGCTTTAAGCTGATACTGTGATACTGTCAAAGGAGGTAACACCTCAAATCCAATGAAACACCTGGCGACGCATAGCGGTTTTTTTTTTAAAAGCCGAGAAATGCGCCGTATTTGATAGCTTGCTGCGAGACCTCACACCGAGCACATCTACTGCGGGTGGGTTGCCTGTTATGCAACATCCCCCAAAAACACGAAGAGGAGAGTCCTGGCCCCTAGCCCTGCCAGTGTAGCAGAAATGATGACGGGTGATGGTGGCAGCAGCAGCCGTTCTTCTCCGCGTGAGTAGCTAATTTACGTTGAGTAGGCTAACCACGTTATTACATTAATGCATGTAAGGTGAACTAGCAAACATCATCATAGCTACATGCGGCTGTCTTCTTGTTTGATGGCAGATACTCCCTTCACCCTGGCTAAAAAGGCTAAAATGACCAAAGAAAAAGTGGAAAACAGTTAAACATGAGAGGTTTAGGACAAAGTTTGTGTTTTTTCCATTGTTTAAGCACTGCTTCCAGCCAAGAGTGATACCATATATGCCCCATAGCTGCAGAAAAGGCTAACATTGTTATATTTTTACAAAAAACAGCTGAACATGAGAGGTTTTTGGACCAATTTTGTGTTCTCCATTCTTTAAGCACCGGTTTGAGCACCGTTTAAGCACCGGCACCGTTTCAAAAGTACCGATTTGGCACCGGTATCGGATAAAACCTAAACGATACCCATCCCTAGTCATGCATGAATTATGACAACCCCAATCAGGATTTTTTCTTAAGTATTTTTATGCACCGTTTCATGCCTAAAGATGAATAAAAATACTTAAGAAAACAATCCTGATTGAGGTTGTCATAATTCATGCATGAAAGGGTTAAACTCAGACTTTGTAGGTGTTTATTCAAATATTAGCTCATTTTGAATTTGACAGCAACATGTCTCAAGAATATTGGGACAGGGGACAAAAGGCTGGAAAATTAAGTGGTGCTATACAGAACAGCTAATTAAGTTAACTGGCAACAGGTCAGTAACATGATAGGGGTAAAGATAGGCAGACATTGTCCATCCATCTGCTTCCGCTTCTTAGGGTTGCGGGGTGAGAGGCAGGGTACAGCCTGGACAGGTCACCAGCGCAGGGCTAACACATAGATGGGAGACAACCAATCGCCCTCGCTTTCACACCAATTTAGTGTTTCCTATTAACCTTTTCCCACCCTAGATAAGACTTTATTGATCCCACGGCGGGGAAATTTCTGCGTTACCTCAGCTCAGCTGTATGTCTTTGGACTGTGGGAGGAAGCCAGAGTACCTGGGGAGAACCCATGTGAATGCAGGAAGAACATGAAAACTCCACAGAGAAAGACCCGGCCTGATGGCGGAACTGAACTCAGAGCCTTCTTGCTGTGAGGCAACGGTGCTAACCACCGTGCCATCATGTTGCCTGGCAGACATTGTTAATAATTCAGCTTTGTGATAATCTACAGTACATAAATTCATCAAAAGATTCAGAGAATGTAAAGAAATTCCTGTGTGCAAGGAACAAGGTCGAAATCAATACTGGATGCCTGTGATGTTTAGGCCTTGCTGCATTACAAACAGGTATGATTCTGTGAGCAGCTGGTGTCCTCAGTTCCCAGATGTTTACAGACTGGACAGGATGCTACCCAGTGATAAATATGGCCTTATGCCACTTTTTTCTTTTTAATTTTGTCAGTTTCAACATTTGATTTTTTTTTTTATGTTTTATTGTGAATGAAATATGGGTTTGAGATCATTACATTCTAATTTTATTTGCATTTTAAACAACATCCCAGTTTCCCAGGAATTGGAGTTGTACATGCATTGTTAAATGTAAGATTTAGAGAAGCGCTAATGGATTCTAATGACTAAGGGTGTACACATTCAACCTTTAGAAATCCAGACAAAATAAATAAACAAGAAGAGTCTATAAAGTTTTGCTAGAGACCCTTAATTGGAAAAGATTCTCATTCAATTAAACAGTTTGCAATGTAGATGATGTACCCTAATGTTTATAATGTGCAATATTTATTTATTTATTTGTACAAACTGCAACAGCCAGAAAAATAAAATGTAAATCTTTACATGAGAGGTAAATTCTCAACATGACCAGTCAATTTCAGTAACATATGTAACTATTACTATGTCAGTGTGTTTCTCTACAAGGTTCAACTTTGGTTCAACTTTACCATAACAGAGATAAACGTGCTACTGTCTAAGTGGACAAATTAAATGGAGACAACAGCTGCAATACCTTGGTGTTGACCTCATCAAACAGGGCGAACAGAAACGTGTAGAGGTTTCCGAGGAAAAGGGCAAAGATGCGTCCGAGCTGCCATTTGAGGGCGATCCGAGGATGGTAGTCCTCCAGCTCAGCAATGGTCTCAAACAGAGGTGGACACACCAGGCCCAGAAGAGACATGACAATCTCCATCTGAAAAAAGTCAAAATTATTCATAAGCTTTTTTTAAAAAAATCTTCATCATCTTTACATGAACTGAGGTGAAGTATTCAACAGCATTGTGAGTCTGACCATTATTACCTCATTCTTCTCATACCAGCTGAGGTCGTCCCTTGTGGCAAACTCCTGAGATCTCTTCACCACAAAGTAGATGAGGTACCCACTGCCGCCGAGGCTACAGGTGATCAGGAAGTTAGCCAGGACTCTGAGGAACCTGCGCAGGTGGATGTTCTCGTCCTTCTGGTTCTCCTGCTCGTCCACAATGGACTCCTGTTCTTATCAAAACATGAGGGGAACTGACTGTCAGTAAAGCGCTTTTTTATTATAATGAGCAGTTCTAAACCCTCAAATAACTAAGCTATTATAGAGACTAAAATCACAGATAAGGTCATTTATGATGCTATTATATTTCATACAGGAATACAATTTTTATTGGCCTTATGTATGTTTATCCTCACTGTTTACTTTATCTGTGATAGAGCTAAAATGTTCTCATGTCATTAATTATTATTTTAAATTACATTAATGCCTAAAGGCTTCACCAGCAGTAAATCTTGCTAATCTGGGTCTGTTAGCCAAGGATCGCTACAAAACATTATAAACATCGGAAGCTGTAAATTATAACATAATAATATGTAATAATATGATATAAAATAACACATACATATATTTTGCACAAGTTTCCTTGTTAGACCTATGGGTCAATTCCTGTAAAAACTGCAAAAATATTGTAAATGAAGTAGATTGGATGTTGTATATATTCCATATTGAGCATCCCGAAGGCTTTAGGATTGTTCTGGTTACCTTGAAACTGGTGGTGATGGAGGCGTACTTGTTGTCAGCGGTCTCCGCATTGCCAATGAGGTAATCCCAGCTGGTGAACATCTTCCAGGCGAAGGTGAAGTCTGAATCCTCCCCATCTCCACCACCAACATCAGCATTTTTGGCCATTCTACAAGCAAAGAAAATAAAAATACCATACCTACTAACTCATCTTCAGTTTCTACATTATTTAATGATGATGATGTAATTTATAGTTAAAGACATATTTTTTCGCAAACTGCTCGGCGCTTTTGGATAAAAAGCAAATAAATGTATCAAAATATATCCCTGCATACATCCGATTTCTTAACTCTGCAATGAATCTGCGACCACCTGGTTTGTGATGTATGTGACTGAACTGGCACGCATCCACGCATGTACTGTACACTCACGTGCGGATCACAAGCATCAGGCTGTAGCCGAAAGTGCCAATGCCGACCATGAGGTAGGACAAAGGTAGCCTGAACTTCAGCACGCCGACGGTCCTCTGGTCGTTGTAATATCCGTAGAACAGCACTGAATATTTGCAGTACCCCTGAGAATGGAAGAAATGTCATTTTGGATGCCATGTTTTCTCACTTATCTTCTTGCCTATAGATCCAAAGGGGTAATACTGAAAATAGCAGAAATTTAAATGACGAGTTGCTCTGCCAGAGATCTGTCAGTTATCGTGTGCCTGTCTGTGCCAGGTGGTTTTCAATATATATTATAATATATATATTAAAAAAAAAAACTTTTCTAACTCTTCAGATCATTATGAGTGCTCAAACACAGGAAAAGTGAATATTCATTCCAACTCAAGTGACTTTGCTTTAGCTAAAACATCTTTGATGGATCACCAAAGGTTCCTGCATATAGAAAAAGAAAATCACGCAAACACATGCGTTCAACGGCAGCACATTTACAACAGCCTCACAGCACACACAGACTTATAGGACACACACGCAAGCCATGCTTGTTCATATTAGTGAATATACACACACATAGTCAGACTTATGGAGCCTCTCTTTCTATTTACAAACAAGTGATGTTTCCACATTCTCTTCACCTGTCTAAACGAAATACCCAGCCTACATCATTAGACATACACACACAATTATGGGCACACTAAGGTTTGTCACATGGAATGTAAATGGAGCTGGCACCAGAGAAAAAAGGTTAAAGATATTTAACCAGCTTAAAAAACTACAGGCAGATGTTGTTTTATTACAAGAGACTCACAGGCCTGTCACAGGTTTAAACGAACTTAAAACACCTGAGTTTCCCAATATGTTTGCAGCCTGTTATAATTCTAGACAAAGGGGACTAGCAATTTTAATACATAAAAATGTTAATTTTACAGTACTCGATACAGTTATAGATCCAGAGGGCAGATTCCTTATTATTAAATTATCAGTATTTAACAAAAAGCTATGTATTGTAAGTATATATGGTCCAAATGTTGATGTTGACCCTCACTCTTTCACAGATTTTTTAGTGCACTCTCTGAACACCTTGATTGCACACTTATTCTTGGAGGCGACCTCAACCTTGGACTAAATGAAGAAATGGATAGGCTCAACACAACAGGAACTCAGCGCAATTGGCAGTCCACAAATATAATCAAACAGTTTATGAGCGACTATGGTCTTTGCAATGCATGGCGCTCCCTTCACCCCAGCAGTAAGGAATATACTTTCTTCTCACATGTCCATCACTCCTACTCTCGTCTGGATTATTTTTTGGTCAGCAGCTCACTGCTGAGTGACATTTCAGATACTGAGATTCACCCTATAGCTGTCAGCGATCACGCTCCTGTATCTTTAACACTAATACATAAGAAGAACGCTACACCAAGTAAAAACTGGAGATTCAATACATCGCTGCTCAAAGATGAAGACTTTATTAAATATTTTAAAAAAGAGTAGACTATAATGACACTCCCAGAACATCAGCTTCTGTTCTATGGGAAGCAGGGAAAGCTGTGATGAGAGGTAAAATAATTTCTTTCTCATCACACAAAGAAGAAAACAAAAATATTCAGAAAAAACATCAAATCCTTAGAAGAAGCCTACGCGTGGGACCAAGATCAAGAAATAATGAACAAAATATGCAAAACAAAACTAGAATTAAATGAAATTATTAATAAAAAAAAAAACAGAATTCCTAGTACAAAGACTTCGCTTGCAGAATTTTGAACACAGTAAAAAATCAGGTCGATTTCTAGCTAACCAGTTAAAAATAAAGAAAGAAAAAACAACTATATGTGCTGTTAAAGATTTATCTGGAAACACAACATATGACCCTGGAAGAATAAACAACATTTTTAGGGATTTCTATGAAACTCTATATTCACCACAAATAAACCCGTCTAAAAATGAAATTGATCAGTTTCTTGACAACGTAACTCTTCCAAAATTACTAGAGTCAAGCAATGGCACTGGATTCACCACTGACGCCAGGTGAACTCCAGGAAGCCCTGATTAGTATGCCTAATAATAAGGCTCCAGGTCCAGACGACTACCCTGCAGAATTCTACAAAGAATTCTGGACAATTCTGGCACCATTATTCCACAGAATGTTGCAGGAAATCAAGGAAAATGGCAGACTACCATTAAATATGAATTCAGCCATCATTATTCTCCTGCTAAAACCAGGCAAAGACCCTTTATTTCCCTCAAGCTATCGTCCAATATCCCTTATAAATGCAGACCTCAAAATAATCTGCAAAGCTCTCTAAAAAGATTAGAGAAGATAACCCCCCTCTTAATTCATCCTGACCAAACTGGTTTCATAAAAGGTCGGCACTCACAGCTCTGGCACTCATCAACAAACGCACGTAGATTACTTAATTTAATAGACCACTCATGCAGTAAAAACATTGAAACCACAACATTATCTCTAGATGCAGAAAAAGCGTTTGACAGAGTTAACTGGAAATTTTTATTTGGTTTTGGAAACTCTTTCATAAACTGGCTAAAAATATTATATAATTCCCCAACAGCTTGTGTCAGAACAAATGACCAGACATCCTCCAGCTTCTGTCTCCTGAGGAGCACCAGGCAGGGATGTCCACTCTCCCCTTCACTTTTTGCAATTTTTATCGAACCACTAGCAGCAGCATTTAGACAAGATACACCATAAAATGTAAGAACGTAGAACATAAAATCAGTCTCTATGCGGATGATGTGTTGCTTTTTCTGCAAAACACACAAACCAACCTCTCTGAGGTAATTACTCTAATAAACTGGTTTTCAAGAGTTTCAGATTATTCAATTAACTGGCCAAAATCTACAGTTCTTCCAGTTAACTGCTCCCTCCATAATTCTTCTTCTGCCCCACTACAATCTGGAAATATTAAATATTTAGGTATTAATGTCCCTCCGAAGCTTTCAGACTTAACTAAATTAAACCACATCCCACTTCTAAAGAAAGTAGAAGGCGATCTGACTAGATGGAGATCTCTACCCATATCACTCATGGGAAGGGTGGGCACTATAAAAATGATGATCTTGCCAAAAATAAATTACTTATTTTTAATGATCCCGAACAAACCATCACAAGATTGGTTCAGATCCCCAGACTCGTATGTTTCTAAATTCCTTTGGAAAGATAAACCCCCGCGTATCATCTTAAAAACGCTACAAAGAACCAAGGACAAAGGAGGATTAGATCTGCCTAATTTTCAACAATATTTCTTAGCCAACAGGCTTCAGTTCATCTCAGAATGGTTAAAACATACCTTCTTAGATTAGCCCTGGCTAGATGCTGAACAGGCACTATGCAATGATCTAGAGATTTCAGACCTACCATTTATCAGCTCAAACATCAAAACATGAATGTTTTAAAAGCATCAACATAATCTCTTCTTTGACAGCATGGTGGGAGTTTCTAAAAATGACAGAGTCTTCATTAGTCCCATGCAGACGTACACCTATCTGAAATAACCCTGACATATTACAAAACAATAATATGATTAATTTTCCAGAATTGAGTTGTAAAGGAATTAAATACTTAGAACATATATTAGAGGGAACAGAGTTTATTCCATTTGACAGACTAGTTGCACAATATGGGATCAACAAGAAAAGATTTTTAGAATATCAACAAATTAAATCCATAGTAAAAAAGAAATTTAACCTCAGTCAAGTTGAATTGCAAACACCACCAAGTGCGGCACATTTTCTTACTCTTAAATCCCCCAAATTATTATCTAAAATATACAGAACACTTTCTAAAATTAGATGAATCAATATCACTTCCTATTGCAAAGTGGGAAGCAGATTTGTCAGTCGGCTTAGACCAAAACTTCTGGTCTCAGATTTGCTTAAAAACCTTTAAATTGATTAGAAATCCCAGTCTGCAATTAATACAATACAAAATACTACATAGAGTGCACTATACAGGTCATCGGATGTTCCAGATGGGCTTTACATCTTCCAACGACTGCTCACACTGTCAAGGCAATACACCAGACAATTACATCCACGCTCTTTGGTTCTGTCCACCAGTGCAGAAGTTTTGGCGCGAAATATGTAAAGACTTATCAAAGTGTCTGAAATGTAACATTCCAACTTCCCCTTTAGTGTGCTTGTTGGGCAAATTGGATGATGTCACTACAGAAACTAATACAGTCCACATGGTTTTTACTGCCCTATGCATTGACAAGAAAACGGTCCTCATGAACTGGAAAAATAAAAATAATCTTAATACTAGCCAATATAGAAACCATAATATAGATCACATTAGCCTCGATACAGCCTCTGCCACCACATTAGATCAATCCCTCTGGGCTCCTTTGATCGGCTCCATCACCTAGCGGGGGTGGGTCGCCAGTGTGGTTGAGGTTGGGACGGGCTTAGGGCGTCTGGAGACTCCCTAGGGACGTTATCCCTGGAGGGCTTAACACAGGGGTTGGGGTTAGTGGCACTGGTTGCTCTTAGAGGGTGTTCTCCTTGTGGCTGCGTGGGGGAGCTGGCCCCAGGGAGGGGCATCTTGCTCCTCCCTTCTTTTCCTCCCCATCCCCGGCTGCCTCCCTCTTCCCGCTCCAACACACTCACCCACACAAGTAGGGCCTTGGGGTGCAGGTGTGTCACCAGGGTGCAGGGGAGGCAACTGGTAACTGATGCCCTCAGGGGTCGGTGCGTTGGTGGTTCTTGGTGTCCGGGGCTGAGCGCTCAGGCATGTACCAGCTCACTCCCAGTGACTACTTGGCGGGGCCTGGTGCCTGTTGCTCGGTCAGGCCTCTTCCGGGGCAAAGGGGGCCCTCGGGCCTCTGGGCCTGCGGCTCAGTTCACTCTGGCACAGCTGCCTGCTGGCAGAGCCGGCGGGCACGCTACTGCAGCCCCCTCTGGCTTCTGCTCCGTGGCTACTGGGTGACCCCTCATCTGGGGCTCTTCCCAGGAGGGTGGCACGGATGCCCCTCCGGTGGTCCTCCTTGGGCTCTCGCACTCTGGGGCCTCTGGATGTCTGGGGCCTGGATCTCCTCCATGCCTGCTTCATGCCCTTCATGGCTCTCTACATCCTCTAGCAGACCATTACATGGGGAAACCTTTTGAATACAAGCACGCTGATCCACACAGGTGTGCACACGGGTGTTCACTGTTCATAGACATAAACTACACCTTTATTGGCTGCTATTTCCAAGCACATTGTGCGCTGCGTGTCCTGCTTGCTACACAACAACATTCAATATTTAGTATTTACTGCTGTTTACACTTAGCTAGATAACGTGATGGTGTTGTGTTTAGTATGTTGCTCTGTTTTTTTTGCTTGTTTTCTCTTCTTTTTCTCTCAACAGGTGACTCAGGAGATTTTTTTTCTCTTTTAAGTGCCCTTTCTCACTGTCCGTCTTCCCTTCTGTTTTTCTTTTCCTTCATCTTTCTTTCTCCCTTTCCTATCCCTCATCATGTCTGTCCCATCTGTAACAACTGAAAATAAAATAAAATAAACAATAACAACAAAGGTTGATCAAATGGACAAATACAGCAAGGCCGTGATGATCCATCTGGCGAAGTAAATCCATTGGGTATCCTTGTTGGTCTTCAGACAACAATTCTGACGGCTAAAGAACCAAATGGGACAGGCAAAAAAAAGAAAAAGAAAAAGAAAAAGAAAATAATTCATTTTGTGCTAAACTCACATTGAAGTCCATGAGGACAGAGTAGTCTTGAGCAGTATCCTGCTCTGCTCTGGGTACAGTCTTCCTGGGAATAGACCCATAGGGAAGACCCATCAGGACCTGGAGACAACATAAAACAATGAATTTGTGCAAATTTCAAATATCACCCAGCAAGTTCTTCCTGGCAACATGGCGACAAATCCCAGTTTTAACAATTAATAGTTCTTAAATGTTCTTAAATGAGAGTTTAATAAAAGAAAGGTTTTGTCTTCACTGTCCTGAAAACTGGACATGCTTTCAAAATGTGTGGATGATCAGTGTGACATTCCTAACAATGGTAAATTTATGTGCAAGAAAGCTTTTATATTGTCCTTTTATCGATTAAAAAAAAGACTCGAGAGGGAAAAAAAAAGGGGGGGGGAGGGGCCTGTGAGATCAACTCCATCTCCCAACTGCTACCTCTGAAGTCCAGTTCTTATCTTAATGAACTAACTGACCCAGGAGCTGACCGAACCACAGCGGCAGCTTGGATTTATAATGCATAAGGAGATGTTTGTCTCACGTGAAGTTTGTCAACTGAAGTAAACGAGAATTTATATGGAGGTAAAGGTAAATGGCTTCAAAGTGTTGTTTATATAGTGAAAAATGGGTGTTTGGTAATTCCTGTCTGTGTAGGTGGAGACTACATTAGGTTGGTGTCTTTACACAACCATTTAATTACAAAATTAACTGTCAATCAATCCCATTGGATTAAACAAAGCCATATTTGTTGCCTTGTAACTGGACCATCAACATCTGACCATCAACGGTACAGTGTTTACATTTACGTATTTTTCTGGGTAAGAGGACAACATGATGTCACCTCAGGGATGACCACAAGTCCAAAGGTGAATCCAAAAAGCACAAGGTTCATGCCGTACATCCATCGCAGGAAAATAAAGTAAGATGCAACGGATGACCCAAAGTGACCTGGGGACAGTGAGAACATTTTTAGTTTTTGCATCTGCCCAGAAGGAGTTTTCCATTGCTGCTAAACACAGATGAGCTGTAAACAATAAACTTACTTTCCACCTCCTTGATCTTCCTCTCCCATGGGATGCACGCTGTTCTGAAATTTTCAAAATCCCTCTGAAACTTGATCCATTTCTTAGATTTAAAAAACAAAACAAGACAGCAAATTAGAGAAGCAGAGCACAAGCAAACACAAGGATAAAATCTAAATATTGTGCCTAACCTTTGTCATCATCACTTTGTAGGCATACCACTTTCGGCCTTTCCCTTTCCCCAAAGCGCCTTCAAACTTATCCACAAATTCTTGAGCTTCCCTGTGAAGAAATGGGAAAACATTTTCATTAGAATGCAATAAACCATTTTTAAAATACAAATATTTTAGTCCAAGATAAGTTTCATGTTAAAATATGAGTAACATGAGAAAGAAGGAGATTACTTTAGGAGTTTGAGCCTCCGCTGCATCCTCCAAGGCTTATTCCTGATGTTGGCGATGAGTTTCTTCTTCTCCTCCACCTCCTCCATCAGCCGAGCCATCTCTCCCTCTGACATGGACTCCTCTTCCTCACTCGAGTTGGAGTTGGAATCTGATGAACTGGGGAGGAAAGGACAGACGGAGTCAAATCCTGCATAAACGACTGTTAGGGAATTCAGAGGAGTCTTCAGAGAATCTTAAAGATTCATCACGAGGGTACGATGACTTCCTCTGACCTACCTGTCACCCTTTTTCTTTTTCTTCTTCTTGTCCTTGTCATCATCTTTGCCCTTGCCCTTCCCTTTCCCTTTGCCATCACCCTTCTTACCCTTGGTCTCCTCTTCTTCTTCCTCCTTCTTTCCTTTCTTCCCTCCTCCCTTCTTTCCCTTCTTTCCTTTCCCCACATCACTGTCCTCCTCATCACTGTCCTGGGCTTTGCCTCCTTTCTTCTTATTGGCTGCTCCTCCTCTCTTCCTCTTGGGAGGCTCATCCTCGCTTTCATCCTCATCATCATTGCCACCACGTTTCTTGGCCAGCTTCTTCCTGTTTGCTCCTCTACGCCCCCTGGGAGCTTCGTCTTCCTCCTCATCGTCCTCATCATCATCATCATCACTGGCCGGTTTTTTGCCTCGTCCTCGTCCCTTTACGCCTCCTCTTCCTCCCGCCTGCCTCCTGTTCCCTCTCCTCTGAGTGGCACCATCTGTGTAAACCGCACGATTGATATTCTGAGCATTTAATTAGACTCTCAACTTTTCATCGTTGTTATAAAGAAGTTCGGTGAACTGCAGTTTTATTCACTCACCGTCACTTTCACTTAAATCTCCGTCTATCTCGATGCCAACTGAGGAAGAACACAAAGACACACAATCAAAAAGAAAACAACACAATCAAGTAATCACCTTGGCTTAAACCATATCAGCTGCCTGCCCCAGAGCAGCAGATTTCATTTACAGACTCTTTGCCTGCAGGATATTTTAGTATCGACTGGCTTCTTGATATAAGATGATGTGTTTAAAATGCATTCAGACTGCCTATGTGGTTCTCAAGACAAAAAGGACTCCAGGCCACATGTGATTAAAAACAAAAGTACATAAAACTTTATTAACTTAACCTGGGGGTCATTACTGCTCAAGATTTCAAGTTGCAGAAGGTTTTCAACCCGTGTGATGCCAACTGTATCATATTTACTACACAGGTTTTTGTGAGTTTTTGAGACGTTCACATTATGAGTGTAATTGTTTTCCCAAAAACCTAAATAAATTACCCAATAGATTACCCAATTAAACACAAAAACAAATTAATATTTAAATGTTTTTTTATTTGTCAGAGGTTCAGTTAATTCAATCAATACTTTTTTAAAATTGAATTTTCTGGCTTTTATTTCATGAATCTGTTGAATGTTTTTGGGTGATTTTTTTTTTTAAATAACCAGTGCAAGGTCACTGGAACTTATACCAGCTGACTTTGGTTAAGAGGCAGAGTACACCCTCAACAGATCACTAATACTGGCCAACACAGAGAGACTGCCAACCACACACTCCCACGTGTACACCTCTATAATTACAGACATACTTCACAAACAAGTCTTTGAGCTGTGGAACGAAGCTCAGAGAGAACTGATGAGGTTTATTCTCCTGGAGCATGCAGTCTGCTTTTAGTATAATGTTAAATGCCAAGAAAACAGATTGATGTAAAAAAATAAATTACTATTATTTTAGAGCGAGCAGAAAGATACGCCAACACACTAAAGTTACTGATGACTACACTGTATATAAATTTCAGGACAGTAACTAAAACTGATACTTCAAGCAGAAGATAATTTGATGTTGTTCTCTTTCTTTATTTACTGCATTTCCATATGTGTTTGCAGATTTTTCAGTAAACCGCAGCATCTTTTTCTCAAAACAAAACAAAAAAAAACACAAAAAAACAAATGCAAGATGCAAAAAACTTGAAAATACAAGAAGTGTTGTGCAACACTGGCTCTGGAAACTAACTCTCGTGCAAGTACACAACGTGAAAAGGGCAAGAAATAAACTGACTATAGAAACACTGGGAACTCTTTAGATGAAGAGACACAGCAGGGAGGAGGACAGGTGAAGACAGTCAGGGCACAGCAGACAATCACAAAGAGGAAGTAAAACTACTGCAAGACATGAGATAGCTGAGAGCATGTAGACAAGAAAGATTCTGAATATATTATGCAGGGAAAACTTACACACACACACACACACACACACACACACACACACACACACACACACACACACACACACACACACACACACACACACACACACACACATCATGTATTTGCAATATTAACTGAGCCTCTTGCCCCATTCATTAGTCTGGACAGCACCTCACTGCACTATAGAGCACTTTAGAGACAGGTATTGTTACACTGCACTGATCTGTTACATGCACTTGTATTTTGTATCATGTTGTGCACTGTTGGATGTGTCTTGGGTGAGCAGACCAAGACTAATTCCTTCCCTGGGTTGCAGAAGTGGTGAAAGTAAATGTGAAGTTGAACTTAAGGAAGGAACACAACCCTAACCTGTAAAATTAGTGGGGTGGGTTTTAAAGATAGAAATATAATTTCATAATTAGTAACATACTAGTTTCATGTTGTCCCACAAAAAGATACTGCCATATTTTTTTTTGCCCTGCGTGCATCAGGACAAGAGCAACAAGAGAGAACATCCTGAGCTATAAAGCATCCTTCGCCAGCTTTGAGAGCGTTTAAAGTCGTGCAGGTTTTTAGCTACAATTACACAATTAACTCTTACACTGTGAGTGTTGCATTGATCCAAAAAGAGAAAGCAGCCAAATTACATCAGGATCAGGATGAGGCCACAAGTTAGTGGATTAATTTGAACATTAAAGAAGGAAGCCAACATGATGTTAGGCCCTAGACCAAAAGTAAAAAGGCTTGAATCGTCCTTGAATAGGTAAACCTGTCTGCACTTTCTTCAATTACCAATGAAACTAAATGAATCCTCCAGTCCTCCAGCCATTAACTTACCTTCTTCCATTTTAGCTGCATCACTTTTTCTCGGCATGATGAAAAATAGGACGTGTCTGACTCTCTCCGTCCTCTGCAGCACTTACAGATCCCGACCTCCTCAGCTGGCTGACTCTCCTTTGCCTTGGATGCCCGCCAAGCACCCAACTCAGGTATCCAGTCCTGTCACTATGGCGACTGTGAGCTGCTCAACAGGTGAGTTCGTGGTTAAGTCAAGCAAATTCTGGAAACCAAAGGTGATCCCTCTTGGACAGGCTGTTATCCTCAGAAGCTGCGACACTTACGTTTTATTAACATACAGATGCTATGGCTGATTGTGTGAGTGTGTGTGTCTTCACGGCTCTTCCCAACAGACCAAAGATCCAGATTATCTAATGCACCTCTTACTTGTGTTGTTACTTGACCACACATACATACAAACACATACACACACCACCACCAGGCCAGACATCCTAAAGATTTAATGAAGGTTTTGGTTTCTATCTGTCCATCACAGTAAGCAGGCAGCAAACACCTTGAGGTGACCTTGCAGCCCTCATACGTTTTTGTTTTAGTTAATAAAAACAAGGCAGGTGTTGGAATCAGCTCACCTGAAGCAGAGGCTGATCAAGTGTGTTGAGACAGAAACGGTAACAGCAGCGTAACGCATCGAGGACTCATTAAATAATAGAACAGGGCTTATTTTTCACATCCAAAATGATTCCATTACACGGTTGTCAGCTCCAACAGGTAAGAGGTGGATTACATCTTTTAAGATCTGTTGCCTATTCACAGAATATTGGCACATACCATGTGAATAGTGCTATGGAAGGCATTGCCATGAAGCCTCCAGATACACAGTTTTTGTGCTGATACTAATGCCAGAAGAGGTTTGATATCACCTGGCTTTAGTGTACACACTGCGTCCAGCTTTTAGGTACAGTCTATGATATAACTCCAGTTCAGTGTGTATGTGAAATACTCCTGAAAGCTTGTATTAGCAATTGTTGCTTAGCCACCTGGTAGATACTGACGAACACTGACACATTTAAATTTAATCCTTAAAATTTACAAAAATAAATATATCAACTTTGTAATCACAGGGTATGCAACTTTAAATTATTTAATAAAACTGCTTATTTCTTATTTATTTTACAATAATGTATGCCTGGCAGAAAAAAAATCCAGTGTTTCTGAATCAATATTTCATGCAAGGCCATCATAAAATATGCATAAGCAGTTAGAAATTAAAGGCTCAGGTGTGGTGAGTGTTGTAATATTGACTGTACATCTGCAGTGGCACTATTAATTAGCATATTAAAAAAAGTGCCTTGTTTCTCCCTATCCCCCTCTGATCTAAAACATGCTGGGGACCCACTACTCAGGCACCCTCCTGCTGGGTCTGGGCTTGGCTCAGAGCAAACCAGTCATGGTATACTGCTTCAGAGGCTCTGAATGAGGACGCAACCCTGTTTTTCAATGCACACAGATGTTTTTCCAGTTCCTTCCCGCTATGGCTGTTCCATCTCCTGTCATCCGTGGTAAAACTGGTCCGTGCCATTGGACCAAACAGCCGGACAGCACCCCATCACGCACACTTGTTGTTACGTCACTGTGTTATTTTGTCAGTATTTTGCCCCACTGCCTTTTCTTTTCTATGACTTTTTGTTTTCAAAACTATATATTTTCTAAAGTACTGGTGACCATACAATGTATATAACTTTAATTTAAACCCTTAACTTCTTCTATAGTTTATACTGGCTGTATGTTTATGTTACAATAAGAAGCCCACACTGGAGCTCCAGGTCTTTGTTCACGTTTTACTCCTTAAATTATGTCTACTGGGCCACCTGGTGGTGGGTCATGATAATACAAGCAACTCAAATCCTTAAATATGGAAGTATATGTAAATTAATATGAACTAAGATTTGATTTTGAGATCATGTTAAGTATTTAAATGGTTAATCAAACTTCATACAATGTGAGGAATTACTCACTTTTTCTTAGTTTCTGTTAACCTGTTGCTCTTAGGTTTTTGCTATATTGGCTGAGAAAGGCTGGTTGATTATAGCAAAGGTCTGTCTTCACGTCATCTCATCTTGAGCTGAGGTGAATATAAAACAGCCTGTAAGTAAATGAACATTTTCTGTATTTTATTATGAGGAAAATTTGGGTTTATTAGATTTCTAAATCACTTTTTCACTCTTTTCTCCTTTTATCTCCTTTGTCTTGGACATTTATACTTTCTTTAACCAACTTCAGTTATTTCTGTGGAACCTGAGAGCCAAATAAGACGGCCACAGCAGAACAGCGGCTGAATCCAAAAAACAATACGCAATAGTAATAACATTTATGCTATAAATAATCTCCTGGAGAAACAACCATGTCATCGCCCTCTTTTATGGACATACTCAGACTGCAGGAAGGCCAGAGGACAGTGGTCTGTGTACACTAAAGACAGCCCTTCTGTTCCTGTATGGTAAACACAAGTGTTACGTAAACCCGAGAGCTTCAACTGGGTCAGCACCCAGTTGTAGGCAAACACAGAGGAGGAAAGTACATTTTGTAATTACACAAAATTAAAAAAAACTTTTTCAAAAATACCTTGCCTAGTAAATTAAAATTGTTTTTCTTCCCAGTGAATTTGCACTGACTGTTTGAAGATTACTTTACTGCAGTTAACACATGAAGTGCCCAGAGGAAGATAACAAGGAGACATATAAAAAAAACAAACAAACAAAAAAAAACCTCAACTCACTCTATTATTCTGGATAGAGATGAGAGCCTGTGGGGGTGATGGGGAACAAAAGTGTACATGTTGCTTTCTTGTGCCTGATAAGTGAGTACACTCTGCACTTGTGGATCAAAACAGGGAGCAGGTGTCATAATGTGACCCGAGGCCAGCGCTCACTGAAGCAGGCCCTGTTGAGTCACATGGAAACGACAGCCTGCAGCCTGGAAATGTCAACTGGATGTTGTGTGCATGCCCTTTAGGGGGAAATGTTACAGTAGTATCTCAATTTTTACTAAAGAATGCTGAAAATATGTGAAAAAATGTTCAATAATTTATTCATTGAGCAATATAACATCTCTAGAGACAGTTAAATGCAACTTCCACTCACTTACAGTTGATAAATACACCAATCCAAAAATAAATAAATAAAAAAATCCACACATAAAAATGAAAGAAATATTAATTTTCTTTATTGACATGCCTCGTGTACAGTTTCAAACATTGGTCCTGTGAACAGCATGCTGTAGCTCATTACTGTCACCAGGGGGTCAGTGTCACAAACAACCAGTCTGTGGACTATCAATGGCTCAGTCACAGTAGAGCAAGTATCCCAAAAGTCTCACTGTAAAGAACAAATCTTTGAGCTTAAAATGTAAGAAATGAAGGTGTAAAATTGGCAGCTCATTGTCCAGACTGTCCTGGAATTATAAAATGGAAGGTTTTTGTTACTTCAGAGTTCTACATTTTTATTTTACTTTTTTTGTTAAAACAAGACAAAACTGAAAAACACAAATCGGGAACTTTTCTGTTGTTTAATTATCCATCACTCAGTGACTTTGTTGTAATGATCAAAGGTGAGTTCTTTAATGGGGGTAGGGGACTGAAACTCATGAAAATACTGTTAAAAAGTCCTACGTGTTTGTGTATTTATTACGCAAAAACATTTATTCATACATGTGTAATGACAAAGTTGAATCCTAATTTTCTAAGGTTTCATTGTGAAATGCATGCTCAACTGGGTTAAGATCAGGTGACTGAGGTGGCCATTTAACAATGTTGTTCTGGTACACGATCTGTCCAAAGAATGCTTTTGCAGAACTATGATGGCTGTCTTAGAAAAAAAATTTCTTCTTCTTTTAGCAAAGTCCAATCAACCCTTTCTATTCTTGAGACTTATGAATAGCTTGCACCTTGCAGTGAACCCTCTGTATTTACTTTCATGCAGTCTTGTCTTTATGGTAGATTTGGAAATCGATACCCTGACCTCTTCAGGTATGGATATTGTTAACTTGGCTTGTTGTTGTGAAGGAGTTTCTCATCACCACGGAACTTATTCTGGGAACATTTCTCCAGTACTTTCTTTCTCAGGATGCACAAAACCTTTCCCTTTTATAATATTTTGGCAATTTATCAGATGGGTTGGGTTTTTCGGCAGCTTTTTATCATTTTATCCAAAACAAATCTCAAGCCACCTTCACCCCATTCATTTAAACAGGTTGCAGTATCTTATTGCCGTTTAATGGTACCAAAGTTGCCTTGAAGACGGCAACTGACAGCAAGTTGATGCAGACCATTTTTCCACCCAGTCTCCAAACATCATTTTCCCTAGTGATTAAGGATAAGTGAGTGTCTGTGCTGTCTGTGCCTTATAGTAGGTAAAGTAGGTAAATACCTTCACAAACAGCCACAAAAGCAGGACTATGAGCAGTGTAGCTTTAATAGTATTTATTAAAGTTTGTTTTCAAGTCATGTCTGTAGTTTTCTCATGCCAGTCACTGTAGTCTTAAAGAAGTCGAGTCACCTTCTTCTCAAGCTCTCAAGATAATAAAACCGAAATTGAAAACTAAGTATCTTTTTTTGTAATTTATGTGATGATGATGGGTGGTATCAAGTATCAGGCCCAGGTCCAGAATTAGCACAGGAAAGACTCCTATCCAACCCATGGGATGTCTTTAGAAAATGTGAAAGAACATAAAATGTACTTACTTTATGGACCATCTGGAGAAGCTAGATGTGCTACCAGGATTTTTTCCTGTAATTTGACACATTTCTTACAATTTAAGCTCCTGCACAGACATGCTGAAAGATTTTCCATTTACTACAGCAACATTTCCTCATGATGTGGAAAAATTAAGATTTACTTCTAAAACTGCATTTATATTAAGATATCTCAGGGATTAAATTTGTACTTAAACTTAGCTTCCCTTAGAGAAAGACAACCTTCAATGCTCCAGCCCACAAGATCAATCTGAGTCTGAGCCAGGAGTCTAGCATGCCTACCTTACAGTATGCAGACACAGTTATGTCAACCTCTCAGTCTCTAA